ATTGGCATTTTAAAAATTTTATTATACACTCTTCATATGTATTTTTCTTTTTAAATATAGAAAATTTTGTAGAATAAGAATTTTGAAATGTTAATAACAATTCTTTTTCTTTTTCCAAAACATTTTGCTTTTCTATTTAGCACGAAAATAAATTATACACTTATCCATTACAAAACCCTAAAACAAATAACTCGTGTGTTTTTTTTCAGTCTCACGTAGTATCGTGTTATTGCTTGCATGTGTAATTTAACAAGTATATAATTGTTTTTTCTGTAATTAATTTATATGAAATTTTCCGTATTTTACAATATGATTGAATTTAAGAGGAAACTTGATATAAGTTCAATTTTTTGAGCCAATGGTAGGAATAGTCCAGTTTATTAAAATAAGTCTAATTTGTTATATTTAATTATTTAATTATCAATAGTTATCTGTTCAATGATAAGATTTATTATAAAAATCAAATTTCTTCCCAATTATCTCTTTGCTTATTTATTTTTATTTATCTTTTTGTTATTTCTCGTTCTTCCTCCAGTTTTAAACCCCATTTATAAATTTTATTTATAATTTTTATAATCAACCTATATCATATGTTAATTATATTTATCTACCTATATGACACATTCTTTTTTTATAATCAACATGTCACAGATTAATGTGTCTTGCTTGTATGTATGTTATGTTTTTTCTACCTTTTAATTAGGTTTCATATCTCACATATAGGTATTATATACATTCATATATTTGTTACTTGAGTTAGGGTAGAATGCTTTGCGGATAAATTTATGTTAGTATATTAGTTTTTTTTGTTATAAGATATTAAATTTTTTTTTTTTTTTTTGGAGTTCGAAAATGCATAATATTAGAAGATTTTAATTGATTTTTAATATTTTTAGAAAATATAAAATGAGTATAAAAGAAATAAAAACATATAATTAAATAACTGGATTCACTTGTAAAAACATTGTACGTTTTTGGATCTGGATCTAAAAGCCCCTTGATTTAACTAAGTTCAATTAGCTAAAAGTTACCAGAGGAATGGGAACTGCTTCAGTTGGATTTTTGGTGGATTAGGGTCTAGACCATTCTTTGCTAAAAGATTAAACCAAGTGATAAGTTGGTTCAGATGAATCTAGTTTCACGTCGGCACACATGAATGCCATGAATGCCCGATATCAATATGACATGAACAAAATAGTGAGAAAGCTGTATGAGGTAACAAACTCACTGAGTCACAACGGATTGGCACCTCTAACATTTGGGCACCATCGAATATTTCTTAGATACAGACTAACAACCACTACTAAATAGTTCAATAATAATCTTATCTCCAATTTGTATTTGGTCACATGCTAGCAGAATATGTTAAAAAAATCTCGATGTTACTAGATATAACCACTCAGTTACATATTGTATTTCATTTTATCATTTTTCTGACATGCAATTTACATTTTAATAGAAAACCACATGTATAAACATGCAAAGTGGAGCACTATTGTTTGTGCTTGGTACCTATACGAACTGCTTGGAATTTCAATTAGGAAAATTGGTTTTGTAGCACTTCTACAAACCCACCAACTATAATAGCTATGTTCTCAAAATACAACCTTTACTAGTCATCTTTGGCGAAAGTACTTTCAATATAATATGTTATCGACACAATATTAATACATTTTCAGCACAATATTGATACCTTGTCGATACAATATTTTTTAGCAAGAAGCTTTTAACTTGAGGTATTTTCATTAAAGAAGGCTAATAAAGATTGTATTTTGAAAGCATAGCTAATTTTGATTGTTGTATTTATAAAAGGTAATATTAGAGAGATTATTTTGTAAATTAAATAACATAAAAATTGATAATTGAATTATTACTTAAACTTAATTAACGTACTTATTTTACATTGATGACATATTATTTAATTTATAAAATTAATCATTCTAGCATTACCTATTTATGTGCTTGGTCAAATTTGGATCAAGAAGTGCAAGATGGTCAAATGGTAATCCAAAAAGAGAGGTGGATGATGGATTTGATCATTCGAGTCGAAAATCATCACCCGTATAAAATTATAGGAATCCACGGGCAGCAACAACAAAGAAGTGATGCCAAGGGACTTTTTAACACCCGTGCGGTAGCATCAGCCACCGTACACGTGTACATACACTTACCAGTCCCCGCCCGTGACCGTGAGCATCAAACTGTTGGCGCGAATCACGAGCAACGGTCAAAAACAATAGAAAAGTAAAAAAAAAATCAGTGAGGAAGGCAAGAGAATCCAAAGCCAATTGGAAAAAGTCATAATTTGAGATTCAAAATTGTACCCACTGGGACCCACTCACTCTGATCTCTGTCAGTTTTATGGCATGGTAATGTGTACGTATAAGGCAGGCGTCTGGTATGGTATAGAGTAGTGGATAGTAGTATCGGGATTATCGGGAGGTGGGTGTGGTCATGTGTGTCTGTGTCTGATTGTGTCACCAGCACAGCACATGGGTTCCTGTTGTGTTGTGGGTGTTAATTATGAGAAAATAGCCTTGTTATGTGTTTTGTGTGTTGCAAACTTGCACAGTGGGGGTGGGCTCATTGCTACTTTGACACAACATTATGGACATTATTGTCCATTAACATCTTGATTGGCACATGTGAACGAGCATCCTCTTCGGATTATTTTTGTAAGAATACTTTTTGGATTTTCTTTTTAAGGATTTTGAGATTTATAAATCGTGTATATTCATCGTATATTATGCAGTCAATTTTTATCGGGTATTATTTGTATTCAATTTTAAGTAAAAAATTTTAAAATTATTTTTTACTACACTATATACGATGAATGAACATGATTTAATAGATTTCAAGATATGATCTTCACAAAGAGGATCCTGGTTTGGCACATGTCACATTTCTATGTGTCTTTGTACCTCTCGTAAGAAAGTAACTTTATAATATGGATACAAATATAACATTACCGTAGCAATTCAAATCGATGATATAATGTTGTGAAATTTTTTTTATACATAACAATAACTCATTGACACGAATGTTAAGTTTATTGGAGCCATGAAAATATAAAGTGTATATATAAGCATGAGTGAACAAAATAATCGGTGAAATTTAAAATAAGAGTAATGCTAGAAAAACTAAATTTGAAAACAAAGTTTTGAAAACTAAAGACATGGAAGTTAATGATTGGTTCATTACTTAAATGTTGATAAACGTGCTTATTTCTATTGGTGATACATCATTTAGTTTGTAAATTTAGTTTTCAAATTTAATCACTCTACCATTAGTCTTAAAGTAAATACGATAGCTTTTCATAGTCACGTTTCAAGTGCTCAAGTCTTGACCTTTAATGTGTCGGGATCATGTACATGATGTATGGATTTGGGGCACTAGCAGCCTTAGGTCGCAGCTTAGGTGTAAAGGTCTTGGCGCAGCGCATGGGGTTGAATCCCGGTAGTGAGATTTCAGGCGTCGGAATCTTCGAGGTCTGGTTTTGGCTACGAGGTCGGAATTACGAAGTGCCGAGAACCGGGATCCCGATCCCGAATCCATTCTTAGGGTCAAGATCGTAGGTCAATTCTTGGGTTTGGGCTTCAACTGCTGGAGTACCGGTTCGAGTTGAGTCTCAATAATTGAAGAAAACAAATGCATGCATGACAACTTGTTCTTTCTTCCTTGGGTTTTGAAAGAACTTACCAGGCATGTTATTGACTTAGTTTTTATAGCTAGCATTTCAAGTTCAACAACTTTCCATGATCCGTATCGGAAGTCTACTGTTTCTTAAAGTCCTTTCTGCTTTAATTTTTCTTAAATCAGTAAACTAAATTATGAAACGAGTAATTAATTCTAATCTAAAACGTTAAGTTTTTATGCTTTATTTCCTTAACTATTAAGACAATGTTAGGGATACTAAATTTGCAAACTAAATAATGTGTCATAAATAAAAATAAGCACGTTCATCAGCGTGTATGTAATAAACCAATCATCAACTTGCATGTCCTTTAGTTTTCAAAACTTTATCTACAAATTTAATCTCCTTAGCACTACTCTAACTATTAACCTTGTGATTGTGAAAGTGTGAAAGGGTTCATTATCTTGGACTTAGGCACAAATCAGTGGTGCATGCATGAGTCATGACTCAAAACTTTTGTATGCACCTTCGAAACAAAAGTATCTTTTTTATATCAATTAAAATATAGTTTTCTATTAATGCCTTCATATATTTTTTTTTCTGTTTGAAGAATATTAATGCATGCTGACTCTTTACTTTTGAGATATGTATATATATTCTAAACTCAAAATAAATTTAGAAAAGGTTACTAATCTGTTGGTGATTATGTATAAGAAAATAGTTAAAGCTCATGATCAACTAACCAAATAAAAAGGCTTCAATCGAAAGGAGCTTTTTCTTTTTCTTTCTTTGGCCTTTGGCCACGATTCGTAGCAAATTGCGGCATACGCTTAACAATCAATTCCAAGGCATGGCAACTTTTATTTTTGGGACAAAAACTTTAAGAATGGCTCATAAAGTTATTATATTAAGTTTAGAAAGTTATATCCAGATTTAGTCTTGCATTAGGTAAAGATAAAAAATAGTTACTTCTAGGGGTGGGTTCAAAAAACCGAAAACCGAAAAAAACCGAAAACCGAACCGGACCGAGACCGAAAAAAACCGAACCGAAAAAAAAACCGAACCGAAATTGTCAAACCGAACCGAACCGAATCTGACCGGTTCGGTTTCGGTTTTTGAGGTTCGGAAACCGAACCGAACCGAACCGAACCGATATATATATATAATTTTTTTGAATATTTATAAATAGTTTAGTCATACAATCATAACAAAACAGAACCTGTTGCCAAGTTGGTTTCAGGGAAACTTTACAAGCATGGAGGCATGGGTTCGAACCCTCATGCCTCTAGGATTTGTGAGGTTTTTTTTAATTTTTTAATTTTTTAAACAAAACCCTTAAGTGTAAGTTACCTGATGCAGAGAGAAACCCTAAACACTCCGCCGGCCTTCCCTTTCCCTTATCCTCCTCTGCAGCAGCAACACTCTCACTCTGGACCATCTCCTTCCCAGCTCCGCAGCTCCGCAGCTCTTCCGATTCGTCTTCTTCCTTCCCTGTGACCTGATGCAGTGCTGCGACCTGCCTCACACATCGACGCCGTCTTACTCTCTCTCAGTCTCTCACCCCCGTGACCTGCTGTGATCAGTAACCCGCTCGCGACCCACGACTTCCTCTCGCCGTTTCTAGTCTCCAGTCTTGACCCACAAATTCCCTCATTTGCAAGGTTAGTCTCTCACCCAGTCACCCTGCTGTGTGCAGATTTTTTTTTCTCAATTTCATTGGTTATCTCATTCAGGTCATTGCCACAGATCCGTTAGAAAATGTTGACAAAGAAAAGACAGATATATTGATGTATTGCACTGGAGGTATCCGTTGTGATGTATATTCCACAATCCTAAGGTAACCCTCCATCTGTTGCGATGTATATTGATGATTCATCATGATTGTATTGCATTATTAATGGGAAAATCTGTGATGGAACGGATTGTGTTGTGATGTTGGAAGCAATTCTTTATCTTTCTTCTCTCGCCCTTCTTATTTTGGTCCTGTACTCTGTAGACATTTCTATTGGGTGCTATATTGCTATAACCATTGTTTTAATTTTGGTTTATAAACATTATTCAGACATTTGTAATTTTGGTTATAAACATTGGTTTTACTCCCTGACATGAGACACACTGACATAGCAGATGTTTATATGCATAATCCTGCATCAACATTTTTGCCTTTTCTGCATTTTCTGCATAATCCTGCCTTTTCTGCATAATCCTTCATGAAATTCAGGGGTAGTTATTTCGTTTGGTGTTCTATCGATCTACCTTGGCTTTACTCCCATAGCACTCTGCCACTCTATGTACTTTAATTTTGTTTCATTGGCTCCAGCTCCACCATTACAATTAGTTACCTACTGATAGTCTGATAGCATCACAGTCCTCTCTTCAGAGGATTGACAAATTCGTGATTTACCTTCTATTGAAAATAAAGTGATTAATTGGCTTTGAAAAATCATACAATGCAGATTATTGGGGGCTCAAGAACAGTTAAATTTTCAGTAATAATTAATAGGAGGTCATGTCGGAGATTTCAAACTACTAGAGGCATAGACAGGGAACCTGTTTTCCCATTTTTTCCTTCACTTTAGTTTCACTTTAGTTTCATGTTTTGAATGTCAAACTATGTAAGGTTACTAAGGTATACAATGATTGCCCGAGGATGGATTGTAACAATGATTTACAATGATTGCCCGAAGCACTTTTGTGATGGAGTAAAATGCATGATAAAGAACCCTATATGATAAAGACCACTGTACCATTCCTAAGCTCCATATTTTGTGAAGAAGTTGAAAAAGGTAATTTTACTTATTCCATTTGGTTTTGTTAGAACTTAGACTATTTTAATTACATGCTTGCTTTACATCATGTTGACATGTTTCATTTTTTATTTGTATGTAGAAATGGCAAGTGCAAACTCAAACAAAGGTGCTATGTTGCCGCCTAGGCCGCCTAAGCATTGAGCTTGAGGACTTGGAAGATTTTATTTGTCCCAAGATATGAAATGATGAAACGTTGAAGATGTGTAAAATTGATTTCATACTTGTAGGTTTTCATGTGGATGACTTTGAAGAAGTGGCTTTGAATGTGAACTTTCATATTTTCATTTTTTTTTTTTAATAATTTTGGAGGGAGAAAAAAAAAAAAAAAAAAAAAAAAAAACCGAAAAAAAACCGAAACCGAACCGAGAAAAACCGAACCGAAAAAAAACCGAACCGAAAAAAACCGAAAAAAATTTGAACCGAACCGAACCGAAATTTCGGTTCGGTTTCGGTTTTGAGAAAAAACCGAACCGATTAGAACCGAACCCAGCCCTAGTTACTTCTGTTATTTTCTTCTAACAACAATAAAGAACCTAGTATTCTATATTTATATACCCAAAAAATTGTAAATTACTTGCACAGAGGAATAAACTTGGCTTCTCAATAGACGAAGTGAAGTTCCTCCTCAATTCATTACGTGCCTGGTTCATAGAACTTTATGTTTATGACTGGAACGGTGCATATTATAAATCATTATGTAAAAATTATCTCTGCAAAATATAATTGAAAATGAGATCGTTTAGTCATCGAACTGGTATAAAAACAAATTGATGGATTTAGTAAAAGAATTATGAACCGTCTATCTATTTGCTATAACTGATTGACTAAATAATCATAGTTTTAATTGTGTTTTTGTAAGATAATATTTAATTAGGTTGATTAAGGACCGAAACCAAAATGACCCTTTATAATATGATTCATGAATAGTTCCGATCATAAATTCAAAACTTTTTAAGGCGGTCACTAAGTAAATTCACAAAGAACTCCTCAATCCTAAGGAGCTAGCCAAACCTATTCTCACCTACAAAAAGAAAAGAGAATATGGGATAGGGGTGTGATATCCACACACACCTTATTTTACTTCTCACACATTTTTTTAATTTTTTGCCGTCGAATCGGATGAATTAAAGAAGATCAATGAACATAAATTATCAAGGGGTATGTGAAAAATAAAATGAGATGTGTGGATAGCACACCGTAAGATAACAGGTGCATTGTCTCTTGCACCGAACACTTGCCTTTGTCAACGTCGGCGAGCCATGCATGCATTATGAATGGCTGGTTTTTGCTCCTTCAGAGAACCATAGAAAATGCATATTATGAACATATATATATATTTTATTCAAATGCGTTTGTTTTAAGAGGATAGTTGCAGACAAATTATTGGGTTGGGAAAAGAAACAAAAGAAGCACAGCTGCACAGGAAAAACATACAAACGTGCAATGAAGAGCAATACAACAATGCTGTTACTGTTATCCAATTAAGGCCGAATGTGGTGGGGCAAATTACGGGCCAAGTTATAAGAAATTAAGAATAGACGAATCAATGACATTTATTTTTCTTGTTCGGTTGGATTTTATTTTTTTTACTTTCGCTAATTTGTTTTGATTTGCTGACCAGAGATTAGGCCTTCTATATAAAACAAAAATTTGTAGAAAAATATATAGTTCTGGTGGAAAACTGGCAAATAATGTGGTACTAGATCGGACGCAAAAGTCCATGGACTTGTGAACCGTAGGTTGTATATGTCATATGGGATCGGTACAACTGGTGGTTAGTTTAATGAAATTAAGTTCCATATTCTGAGTCCTAAATCTTTTATTCTTTGATGATCCATACAGAGTAGATAAAGTTTGATATTGAATTTTAGTGCCCCTGGAAACCTCAAGGATTTTTATTTTTGGTGCCCTATATACTTGATGATACAAATAATACACCATTTTGAACATGCAATCATGCAAGTAAGTTAAATTGTGAAACGAGAAGAGGAGGATGTGAAGAATTCTTAATTTGCATGCTCTGACAGAACAAAAATGTTGTCGGAAGATTTGTCTTCAGACTAATATGCACCGACACACATACACACACACACACATACATACATACATACATACATGATCATCCTTATTGATTGTCATAAGCAAACCGCCAAGTGATAAGAAAAACAATACAAAAACTACACTTCTTCAGCCTTTTCATCCGTATAATATTCGTTATGGTGTATTTAATTTAAACTATATATTGAAAATATTCATGGGCAAATATTAGCTCACATCTCCGTGGAAAATCACAGTTTGTCATTTTTTATCCCAAAAAAAATCAGAGTTTGCCATCTACTGCAGAGAATTCTCTTGTTAATTTCAATAAATTATTTTCACACGTATGTAAAAACCAGGATTTGCAAATAAGAGAGAATATATTAACGAGCATGCAATTTTATTATATATGTTGGAAGACTGAAGCTTTCAGCTTGCAGCACGGTGCCGATCCGCCTACCATATTAGTCAAAAAGGCTGCTAGAGAAAGGGCAAATATACTTTGCAGGAGGGGGACGAGGCTCCATCTTGGAAAATTGAAAACATGGATTATGGTACAAATCTTGAAATCTCCGAATGACTTTATTGTGCTGTGTGACAGACAAGATTACTAAAAGAAAACAATGTCGAACTTCAAACGCTGATCTCAACTGTAAAATTATTAATTTTTATTTAATTCTTTTCAAAACATGAAGTTTTCCTTCATTAAATTAAGGAGGGCCGACTAATCCACACAAAAGAGAATTAGGGATAGTGAGTGCAATTTCCCCATAGCCTTGAGCATGGCTGTTGATTAAAGGGAAGGTATCAGGCCAAATATCTCAAAGTGGCCGAGACAAGGTTAGGGAGCCAATAATAGTTAAGCACTGTGGCATGCGAGCTTCATCTTACCAATCCTAAGGATGATTGGTAATTTGGTACGAACCAAACAAGAAGCAACCATTATTTTAGGCTTGACCGTTTGTGGCGACACCCATTACCCATTAGATAATAAGTCAGCAAAAATTGATGCACCCCACAAGGCATTACCCGATACCCACCAAGTGGAAAAGTTGGAAAGTTGGGAGGAGAAAGGCGATCACCATCAGTAGTCATATGTCCAGAGAAACAAAGAAAAAGAAGGTATATGCATTGCCTTTTTCTAATGGGGTAATGTAATTGCATATTTGATAAGTCTCTCTGAAGAACTAAAGCCTAGCTCTTACTTCCCTTTTTCCTCGTCATGATTGTGCTATGAAAATGTAGCACTTGCTAACAATGGGCACCAAACCTACCTTAATCATTAGACACGACAAAGAAAATTGAAAAGCCAATGCCCCACATGTTTGGAACATATACACCATATACACCGTGATTGGTGTATGATGCCAGCTCTATTATTTCCTTTACGAAAACATTTCACATTCTAAACTACTACAATCTGTTGAATGAGGATCAAATTTTAGGATAAAGAGGTAATCACATTGTCTTGGCTAATTACCCTAAGAGGGCTAGCAAACCTTTATATTTGGAACTACGTTTCTTCTATTTTCTCATTTCTTTTTATGATCAAGCAATGTTACTTAATGATTGAAACCGTATGTTGTCTAGGTCATTTTTTAAAGATTAACTTTGCAACAAAAGAACCAAACAAGTAATTATCAAATCGTTAGATAAACGTTGTTATAATTTTAGTGTTTACAAGATTTATTGAACAACCAGTAAAAGATTTCAAATGCTATTAATTTTTTGTAAGAATAATGTTGTTAGCATTCTTCTTTGGCCTAAACCACGTCTCTCTTATTTCACTTGTCGCTCTGTGTTTTTACCTATGCTGATAGAACAATGGTAATAATCTACAACCATCATGATCCAGGTCCTCTATGGAAATGGATTCTCGTCACCGCATCACACGTGATAAAGATGAACAGCCTCCTCTAGGGTCTAGCTAATGCTAAGGAAAAACTGGAAAGCACATTGCAATCAACAGCTAAGATACAACTGCAAACATATCCATGTTTGACTTGTGTATGCATGCCATGTGCCGTGTTTGGCTACGAGAAGAAACATATTGTTCTAGCCAACTTGGCTAAGGTCATATCTGCAACATGCAACATGCCATGTGCCAGGAGATTAGAAAACATGAACTGCATGAGGCAGTAAATCGAGGAACACCTTAATCTTTTCAGTTGTTGAAGATGATAATCACCAATCTTGAACCGAATAAGCTGAGGCACTAATGCTTTCAACTCAACTCACTCAAAAACCAACATGCATGTAGGATGTCGCAGCTATACTTTCTCTGCAACGACTATCATCCCTACACTTAACAGATTACCAAAAAATTAAGAGACCAATGTAGCAACTAATTCACAACCATTACTACCAGACCTTGAATTAGAAGCTGCCTAATTGGCACCCTCACACTGTCAAGTGTGCTCTTCAGCCATTGCGGAAGGCAGAAGCCAGAATAAAGACGGGAAACGAGAAGCGCCTTGGTTAAGTAAGACGCAAGATCAATCGAGAATTGAGATTTGTTGAACATATGAATAATTAAAAGTAGGAACACGCTATGCACCAATATTCCACTAGAAGTAGCCATTCCTGAAAGGAACTCAATTTGCCATTCAAATAACCTTGAAGATACACCATCAACAGAAAGAAAGAGCATTTCGAGCAAAAGAAACAGAAAAGAGAGTATTCACTTCTAGTTTTCTAGATCAAATACTCAATTGGTTGGTCCCCAGGACTCTCACTCGTCGCTTGTTTCTTGCAGGAAACTCACTGAGCATGTCGTTTTAATGCACATATTTCTTACTTGTACTACCAGAGGAAGACAAGTGAAAGAAAATAGCATTACCACTGGTGGAAAACAAAGGTCCGAGGTTTCAGTTCATACAATGTATAACACATCTTCCCGTGCAGAATTCCAGTGTGGAAGTCCTCAGTTCTTGATTCATTAATCTCAGCTCACGGCACACAATTAAAAGAGCAATAAGACTTGCGTCGTAAGGCTTTCCCTGCCTCTCTAGCATCGTATTGTAAATCATCAGACTTGTTAGAACATTTCATTTGTCTCAATCACTCTAAATTCCACCAACAATCTCAAAAAAGACATAACCCTTGTATGAATAATTCATCGTGCCTAATTTTCATTGCTATGGCGATGCAATGACCTAAATAATTCTGAGTTTGAATCTACCCATTTTTAGGTCTCATTAGCTTATCAGTTATTGCTCCACCTGAGTACATCATATCAAATCCAAATAATCAATACAAATTAGCAAGAAACCTCAAATACACGACTGCAAAAACTGAGATGCTGTACAAGGTTGAGCGTTACTAATTATTTAACTATATCATCCGGTATTTTCGTATAATTTGTAAATACAACATCACCAGCGTAGGATCAAATATCGATGCTTCCACGTAAAATTAGATCCAAAGAAATCAACACCTCAAAGGATCTAAGACTGTTTGAAGCTTTCATATAAACACAGGAATGGGATCTCAACTTAATTGTATTCAGAAAGTAATTTTCCTTTTCATCCACCAGCAACCAGTAATCTAACTACCACAAAGTTATGCCTGCTCCTCAATTATATCTGTCCCCCTCCCAGACAAACTGTACAATGCATTGTAACGAAAGAGTTTATCGAAGAATCTATCTTCCATCCTGCATCTTCCTACAATAAGTGCTGAAATGCATTAGCCAGTGTTTGAAGAATTTAACAGTTACATTTCACAAAAGCAATCTGTGCAGCAGCATCAAGTGATCAACAAATCCAACACTGAATAATTTGTGTTATTATTCCTAACATCCAACAAGCACACAGTTTTTTGAAAAACTCTGACGGGGCTGCATGGATCCCATCATTTTTGTGAAAATGTGGAACTTCTGTTTTAGAAATAAAAGAAAACAGATGAAGGGTTTCTTAAATGAATTACAGACTATGTAGAATACCACTGCATGAAGAAGATGGGTTGGTTTCGGTTACATTGACAATTTGACATAGCAAGTCTTTAACAGGCCAATGTGCACAGAATATCATCTCTCAAATATTAGTAGGTTTCAACCACCAAGAGGAAAGGGTCATTTTCTAGAAAAGGTCATGTTTGATGTCCAAGATCTTTTCTCTTCGGAAGCTCTTTACAGCCCATCAAACATGTGACAACCTGAGAGCATGCCTTATAACACCCGTTCCTATCCTCTACTTCCCAATTTAAAGTATGAAAGACTACCGCTAACGCTATCTTGCCAACTTGCTCCCCAGCATTTCTTGGACTACTCAAGTCCTTGTTGAAGATCAGTACAGCAATAGTCTGTACTCCACATAATGCTAAATTTACAATGGATTCCAACTATTTCCCAAAGATTAAGGCGGTCATGAAATTTATTAAATGTGACTATTTGTTTATTCAATCTTAAACTCACCATACCTTCATCCCTCCTGCCTCAGATTTGACAAATGAATCTGTGCAACCCAAATCGTAGGAAATCTCAGATCTTGATCGGTGTTTTGGAGAAACAATCAAGTTTGACTTAAAGTTTCATCACTCAAGTCATAAGTGAAACAGAATAGTTCTTACTCCATGTTTAATAAGTTAATCAACCTTCCTAACAAAGATTATTAAGATTCCAGCCAAAACAAAAGAGAATAAACAATGGTTAATATTAGCCACTGGTGCAGCTTGCTTTTGGATACTTCTTGACGATAAATTTTGGGAGCTATTATTCGCCCTCTAGAAATGGCATCCTGCACTCCTCTCTATACAAATTTTCCCTTGTCCTTTTATAAAGTGAGCGCAGGAGGTGACAAAAGCGCTTTGCTTTTCGAACAAATTGCCATACATACATACATATATGCATAACAAGTCAATCCCACAAGCACTAACAAAGTTCATCTTTTTATCACGGCAACCGACTCTTATAACACTTGGTTCTCAACATTTGTTCGGAGAGCGAAGCGCTTTTGTCATACTAGTATCTAGCTTCTCGAGCTTCATGCTGATCGCCCATTAAATTTTAATATCAGATGAAAAAGAGCAATCTTGAACGACCCAATTCATGAATTCAAACAAATCACTCACTCAACCCGTCATTCTATAACAAGATTAAAAGTCAATGATCAAGCAAGAAAATCATCACAAACCCACCATCCCAGAAAAGAAAACATAGCAATTGAGATCAAAGAAACTGCAAAAAGGATGGTAGAAAATTACTGTAGAGGGGAGCCGGTGAAGGAGAAGACAATCGAAGAAGCAGAAGGGGATCAATCAGAGTGGGGATCGTAGTAATAGTCATCGTGATCGACGGTGGTGGACGAGTCATCGGAGTCGGAGGAAGAGTAGTAGTAGTAGGAGTCGGGCGGAGGGACGCAGAGGAAGGTCCAGAGGCAGAAAGCCAGGCGACCCAACTGCTGCAGAGGGAAGCAGAAGATGAGATCTAACAGCTGGTGGCTGCTCATGCGCTCCGGTAAGCATGCCAACTCCTGCCACATCTCCGCCGACAGGTGCGCCACCGACTCCACCATTACGCTGTTGAACACCATTTTTGTGCCTCCTCTGTCGACTTCGCGTGCGTATGGGAACGGGACTCTGTTCTGTTCTGTTGTTATTTTTTGGTTGAAAGATTGGGCAATTGGGACTCAAGACTCTGGTTTATCTGGTTGAATGGATCTCAATTTTCACCACTCCGTCTTACTTTTTACTGTTGGAGTCGTAGATATAACATTCAAAAGAATTTATGTCGGCAAAACAGATGACGGATTTTGTACAAGACAATTCATCTTTCTATTTGTTATTAACATGTTATCTATTACGGTAATGAATATTGAAATTCTGTTTTAATATTAACGACGTATCATAAACAAAGACGTAAGAAATAAGGATATATTATGCAGATGGCATTCTTCATCCTCGATGTTTATTGTTTGTATATTTACGTCACAGGTAGCAGATATGCAAATAATTCGTAAATAGTGAGAACGACCCATCCTGCATTTTGCTCAACAATTAGGAACCAAGTGGTGCTGTCTTTAAAACCTTGGCAGAATTCTGAAATCCCAAGACAATAAAGAAAATTTTTCAATGCGTTCAAAATATGGACTGGTACATTACGAGTCATAATACAAATAGATAGATTTAAAATAAAACTCTGATCCACTTATATTATGACAAATTAAGTACGAACCCCTGCTCCTTTGAGACAGTGAAAAGTATCTCCGTATCAACCTATTTGTAAGAACTTTAATACAACAGAGATGACACCACATCATTATCTCAAGTCAATTTCATAGTTTGCATGTAAAGAAGTGTTACGCTATGTATTGGCTTCCGCTGTAACTCACGGCAGGGGCACGAAACTGGCTCGCATCTTCAATGGGTCATCACATAAATACGGGCTAGATGATAGCCCATTCCACAAAGCCCACCACAGGTTGGCCCCCTTGTCCACGGAAGAAGTGAAGTGAGAAGTAAACACCAAAAGACCAACCAACCATTGAAGCTTTGGAACCAAAAAAACAGAGATGGATGCGCTGAAGCTTTGGAGCCTATCCTCGCAGCCATTGAAGCACCTCTTCCGCGTTGCTTCCTCCACCACCACGACGACTCTCAGACGACCCTTTTCTCATTCTTCTTCGTATTCTAGAGTTGTCCTCCGCTGTTGCTCTTCTACCTCCATCTCCACCACTCCCGCCAACGCCGCCAGAGCCGGCGGCCGCAACCGGCGGGCATCCACATCTTCCTCCACCTCTGATAGAGACGCTGTTCGAGCCATTCGTTTGAAGAAGGTATGTTCTTTCCAATAAAGCTCTGACTGACTGAAACTTCAATGGCAGAGTGTTGGGACATGAAGGAAGTCAATTTATGGGTTTGAAATTTGCTTTCTTGAATTCCGTTTCCAAATGGGTTTTAGGTAGAAGAACTGAGGAGCAAAGGTTTGGAGCCATATGCTTATGGGTGGGAAAGGACTCACACTGCTAATCAGCTGCAAGATATATACAAGGATTTAGCGGACGGTGAAGAGGCAAAAGCCGAGAGGGATGCTGTGTCCATTGCAGGAAGAATTGTGGCTCGCAGAGCATTCGGAAAGCTTGCATTTTTGACACTGAGGGACGATTCCGGCACAATTCAGGTAAGGAAAGCTTGCATTGCTATAATGCTTATATCTCATTCCTGGCTTTTTATTAAAAATAAAAAGAAAAGCTCTTTTATCTACCCTTTAAGTAAAATGAAACGAAAATTAGAGCAAAGTGAGTGAAGTTATGAACATTTGGTTACAGCTTTACTGTGAAAAGGAACGGCTTGCAGACGAACAGTTCGATCAGTTAAAGGCACTTGTTGATATTGGTGATATAGTTGGTGCTAGTGGATCCATCAAACGAACAGAGAAAGGTAAGTTCTTTAGCGTTTCTTGTTTGTATTTGGTTGCTAAGCTTAGCTGATAGGCTAATGGCCTCTATAGTAGAAGGAACAACAAGTGTACTTGAGTTATGGATCAGTTGCTAGCTAAAATGAAAGCCTTTTTCTATTTGTGAATTTTCATTAGCTAATGATGTTAAACCAACCAACAAGTTTCATGCTTGTCTAAAAAGAGTTTATATTAGCCTCAAGGTCCTGCAAAGAAAGCTAACAAAAATTCTTGGTTAATTCCTCAGGGGAGCTTTCGATTTATGTGAATGCTTTTGCAATTCTTACAAAATCTCTACTCCCGCTGCCGGACAAGTATCATGGTCTAACAGATGTGGACAAGCGCTACCGTCAGCGGTGAGTTGATATTTTCTTTTTGAGCATTATGTTTTATATGTTTAGATGTTATACAGTTTTCTTTCTTTCTTCCTGTAAATTGTAACACTACAACAACAACAACAAAGCCTTTTCCCACTAAGTGGGGTCGGCTGTATGAATCCTAGAACGCCATTGCGCTCGGGTAAATTGTTACACTAGATGTGAAAATTTTGGTTTACCTACAAGTTTCTAATTCTTTGTGTCTGTTCTATCTTATTTTTCCCATTAATATTTAGGTATGTAGATATGATTGCTAATCCTGAGGTAGCTGATGTATTCCGGAAAAGAGCAAAGGTAAATCGTCCCTGTTCTCTCCGTACCGGAAAACAATTAAGACCTACTAGGTTTTTAACTTTCTGATATATTCCTTTTTATGTTTGATAAGTTTTGAATTTATACTTCTATTCTTGAAAATGATTTACTTGTTTGTTTTACTGAGTAGATTATATCGGAGATACGAAAGGCAGTGGAGTCTGTTGGTTTCGTTGAGGTTGAAACTCCAGTTCTGCAGGTTTGGCAATTTCTCCCAGTTTCATATTTGCATGGCATTTTAGCTATTTGTTTTGATAGGCTCTGTGGTTATTTTGGATAGTGCATGCTCATAGATTACAATTATTCAATTAAAAGCCTGGCTGAAGTTTTTTTTCCTGGTAAAGTGGAACTGGAGAATTTGAAAAATGAAGTTCATCTTGTGAACATAAAATTTATATTTGAAGTTTAACAGTATCCTTGAGATGACAATTGATCGTTGGTTGTTAGGTCATTGACTTATTTGTAAAGTTAAGAGAGACTTTCCAACGACATGTAGACAAATAAATAATTTGTGGAAATCCAAATTGGTCTCTCGTTAACATGTTTGCATCTATTCATATCAGTTGGTGATGCTTACGCAAGAAATAGTTGCCCGGCCTGAATTTATAAGTTAAAGAAATTCTATTTAATTCCTGGAATATATAATTTCTGATAATTTTTATGAATTTATTTTAATGTCATATACCTGGAACTTGGTTTTTAATTGATTTGATAAACTAGGGAGCAGCTGGTGGTGCGGAAGCTAGGCCATTTGTTACACACCATAATTCACTTGGAAGGGACCTGTACTTGAGAATAGCAACTGAGCTCCACTTAAAGAGAATGCTGGTGAGGACTTTAGTTTTGTTCGGAATGTGAATGATTACTGGTTCCACAGAAACTCTATAAAAGATTGGTTTAAGTTTCATACAGTAACAAATGAATAATTGCGCATAAGTTTTATTTTTCTTTACTTCTAACCTTATCTTACACTTGAATTAGATATTGAATAAGATCTGTCTATGGATGACAGGTTGGTGGGTTTGAAAAAGTGTATGAGATTGGTCGAATATTCAGGAATGAAGGCATTTCAACTCGTCATAATCCTGAATTTACCACTATAGAGGTAAATTAATTATTACTGTTTATTTTAACTCGTCCTTGTGTACTTTACCAAATAAGCGTTACTAGGTGTAGGCTATTATATATTTAACTTTATTATTTTTATCAAGTGAAGCTCTGATCATTATTGGTATTAGTCTGATCTTAGATGTATGAAGCATATTCAGACTATGAAAGCATGATGAACATGGCGGAGGAAATTGTTACACGATGTGCGCTTGCAGTTCATGGGACTCTTACTGTTGATTATCAGGTAAATGCGACTTCACCCAACTTGTGTCGGGATTTCTGTGCAGTTTACATTTCCGTGAAAAGCAAGTTGGAAAGTACATGTGCTTAGTAGTAATATATGATATCAAGTTGCTTTTAATATGTTGTAACTGGTATCATGTTCTATGCAGGGGGTGGAGATACATCTTGAGCGGCCTTGGAGGAGGGAAACCATGCACAATCTTGTAAAAGAATCCACTGAGATTGATTTTGGTGAGTTGGGCAATGATCTTAAAGTGGTTAAAGAAGTTACTCTGAAAACCCTCGGAGCTGACCTTGATCACAAAGACAAAGTTTCCATTGAAGCATGCACATCTATTGGCCACCTTCTTAATGAGGTTGATCTCAATCTACAATCTATAGTTCTTGATCTTGGTTTTTATTTGCATTGACTAATTAGTTTGCTGAGTTATCCATCTGATGGGAGGCTGTTGATATGAAAAGAACAGATTTCAATGATGAAAATCAGAAACTTTTTGAAATGTGGATTTTAATTTGTTTTTGTTCTACGCTGTCTCCTTTTTTTCTGGTCCTAATTGTTCATTCGTCCAGGTTTTTGAGATTGTTGTAGAACCAAAGCTTCTGCAACCCACATTTGTATTAGACTATCCTATTGAGATATCTCCTCTGGCCAAGCCACACCGAAGGTATTATACCATGTCGATTAAATTGCGTATTACGTTCATTTTGGTAGTTTTACATGTCACCTTACTCCTTTGTTCTTCTAAATTAGAAATGCAGGGTTGACTGAGAGATTTGAGCTTTTCATCTGTGGTCGTGAGCTGGCCAATGCTTTCTCTGAACTGACCGATCCTATGGATCAGGTAATCATGAACGCTGATTGTTTATTTTTACTGCCAATTGTTGTACATTTCACTATGTTGGTTTCTATTACGAAGCATAGAGAATTTGTTGTTGGTGATAAATTTTGGCAGAGAGGACGCTTGGAAGAGCAAGTGAGGCAGCACAATGAGAAGAAAGCAGCAGGTATTTCCGAAACAGATGGTGCAGATGATAAAAGAAAGGAAAATGATGACTCGTATGAGGTGACTCTTGATGATGATTTCCTTACAGCTTTGGAATATGGGATGCCTCCAGCTTCAGGAATGGTACGATCATTATCCTGTCATATCTTTGTAATTTGGGAGAAAATGATAGGAAAACTAATGGGTAGAAGTTATATATATTTTCAGGGACTTGGAATTGACAGGCTAGTCATGCTTTTAACGAACTCGGCGAGCATTAGAGATGTAATTGCCTTCCCAGTTCTTAAAGTTCAGCAATAAGGAGACTGGGACAGTAAGAGGGCCAACGATGAGTTATTATATTGAGGTCAAGCTGCAAACGGCTTTATTTTTTATTCATCTATTTTTACTGATGTCCAGTTTAACGGGCTGCGGATACCTGGGTTTACTACTTTGGGGGCATAAATTTTGTGGTTCCGCCATATGATAATGGACTTTGGCAAAACGAGATTAGTTGTTGGAAGATGTAAACAAGATGGTTATAACATTGGAAATATATTTTGGGTGGTCTTCTTTTGTTTTCATTATGTACGGATCCGACCATATGAGGGTGTGTCGGTGTCATCTATAAAGGTGCCGTGTAATCATGGAAATATAGCGTTTCTCTCTCTCTCTCCCTCTCTCTCCCTCCCTCTCTCTCTCTCTAAACTATTTTTGTTTTGTTTGTAAGTTTAAGTTGTAGTTATATCATGCAAGAGCAAGAGAGAAATAATGAAAACGAAGATGATGGGATTGGGATGGGACTTTGTGTTGTCCACGCCCGCCCCGGGCCCGTCCCGCAATGATAATGATATATATTACAAAGAAAGAAAAAGGGCAGTACATGCGCTTGTCTGTTTGTCTGTCTGTCTGTCTGGTAATTTGGTAAACAATTCCCTTCCTCTTTCATAACCTTACCTGCCTGCAGCTGCAGTGTGTGTTACTTTTCTCCGAGGACTCATCATCACCTGCCTAAAGCCTTCCTTCTTTTGGCTTCTATAATTATGTGGGTTTTTTTTTTTTTTTTACTTTTCAGAAAATAAAGGAAAGATGTTGACTCTATAGCTTGTTTCACTCACTCTCAAACTCTCCATTTCTGTTTTATTGGAACGGTGTTCTAAGTTATTCTTAACTAGGAGGTTGAGAGGGAGAATTCAAACTAGGATGCAAAAGGGACGCACATTGCTCTAGTAAATTAAGTTACGTCGAGGTGTACTATTTATTTATTTATTTATTTTTTTGTCTATGCATAATAATAAGCCGTAAATGAGTTTGGTGTATGAATGGCAAATTGGAAAGCCAAGGTATGTATGGCATACAAAACCAAGGAATAAAATAAGAGAATTGAGCATATATAATGTGAGATAGTAGGGAAGGGAAGTATGAAAGAGGAATATTTGATGTATATAATGACAGAGATGGCATAAAATAAAAAGAAACGTGGGAACTTTGGCTAGGCAACACAAGTAAAGACTGTAGAAACCATTAAATATTATTAGGGTTGAGGAGTCCCTTCCCTCTGAAGAAACAAATTCCTTCTTCTAAGACTTAATTTGCATGCATGCATTAAGGGAACATCACCATATATATATATATCTGCTAATTATTAAATTAATTATGTTTGTGCTGTCATCAGTCATCAGTCATCTGATGCCTAATACTAATCCCTCGCAAGTTCAGAACACAAAACCAAAACACAATACATAGGACGTTAATGGCGTTGGTTACCTTCCTATATAAATATAATATAATAACGGATTCAGAAAAACGTATTCATGTATGTACGTATATATTGCCCCATGCCTGCCTCGCGAATCTGAGCGAACCAATGATTGCTATTAGATTATTCTTTCTAATATCATAATTAATATAATCATATCCATATTGGATCGGATTTGTTCTTCTCTTAATTATACCATTTTCTTCTTTAATCCTGATATATGTATGTGTGTAAAAAGATTTTGGATTTGGATTTGGGAGAAGTAAAAGCTATCTGTTTTTACTGTGTAATATTTTTGTTGTTGTTTTTTTTTTTTTACTGTGTAATATTTTTGTTGTTGAGTGCTTTCCTTTTCAGCTAATTAAAATTCTACTAATTAAATGCTTTCCCTTTCCCTTTCCCCCTCCTTTCTTTTCGTTCTTTCTTTCTTTCTTTCTTTCTTTCTTTCTAAACTCGTAGACTTTGCTCTCTCATTACATTTTCAGTTTCTTCTCAAAATTGTCAAGTGTCCATGATGTTCACGATGGAGGAGGTGGAACCCTAAAAGAGCAGGGTATCATCGTAATTTCAGTCTCCATAGACATAATTGCTGCTTCCTTCCTGTTCCCTCCCTCTACTTAATAATTTATAAGAGGGAATCCCATTCCCACAATCATAGGCTAGGCAGTCGGCAAGGCTCTTTCTTTATGCTTTACTTTTTAGGTTTGTTATTCTTCTTGAGGAGTTGGACTTCATACGCCTTCAATTCATTTATGTTTTGAAGTTGTAACAGATTTACGCGTACGGAGGTTGCGAAATTTATACTTTGTCACATTGTTTCAGAATTGAGAGTGGAACTGCAAAATAAGTTGTTGATGTGGTGTGATCATAAGAAAGGCAGCCAGGCGCGGGCACGCGCGCACACACACACACACATATATATTTTGATGAGGTTTGTGTTTTGCAAGATTCATTGTCCTCCCTTCATCTGCTTTTGCAAGCCTAATTCCCCTCATATATACACTCCTGGACAACTCAAATTACAGAATTCCCCAACTCCATCTCCACCTTTGCCTAATTCAAAACTTGAACCAGTTCCTGAGACATCTGACCACTTACCTGATGAAGAAACCACTGAGATCATCAAGGAGGAGAGGTTATTAGGTAATGCGAATCCACAACCAGCTACCGCTCAGCCTTGTCTCAAGAGTAGTCTCCGAAAGCCTAATTCCTACTCAGGTGCTCCAAAACAGGAGGTGCTCAAGAAGAGAGTGCAGTGGACAGACTTTTTAGGGAAGCAGCTTGTTGACGTTAGGGAATTTGAGGGCAGGTGTGGTCTTTGCTCTCTCTCTCTCTCTCTCTCTCTCTCCCCATTTTCTTTGGGTGGAATTCTTTAGTTAATTGTTGAATATGTCAGCTTCCCATTTCTACAACTAATGTGAAGAAAACATGTCCATTCAGTAGTATATTTTTTTTCATAACTTAATAGCTGAAACTTGGAAGTGGAAACCACATACATGTTGTCTTCAAACTTTTCCTCCCCATCTTCACACCCCAACTTATCGTAATTTACAATACGACTTCATATTCTTCTTTACAACAACTTCCCTACAATGGAGGGATCACATTGTTGCGGTAATCTCAAACTACCATATGAAACGCACGGCAACTCATGACTTTTTGGTATACTGCCACAGTTTTATCTCTAGTACATCTAAGTTTCTGTCATGCCATTTGATTTGTTGAAACTACTTCTTTTGATGCACAAAATCGGGCCGATATTAGACCAACTTAGATATGACCGTAAATCACACAAGTACAAGAACACACAAGAGATATCTACAAGTAAGGTTCTAAAAGACGCTAGACACTAGTTGAGCGGTGGGCTGGGACCTAGCGCCTAGGCAGATTTAAGTAAATTTATTATATTTTGTATAAATAAGTATCTGTTTATACTTAAAATATATATATTATGAAGTTTTGGAACATAATGAAAATATGGGGAACAAACATATAGTGTGTGTTCATTTAAGTATTCAACAAGTCTCGTACAATTTATTGAAAAAATAATATGCAAAATGAAATTTATCTATTTTCTGTTTATGTGAGTCGTAACCTAGGTGGGTGCCTAGGCGGGTCTGGGCAGGCTAGGCGGTCTAGACGGGCACCTTAGCAGGTCTAGGCGCCCTTTCTTAATTTTCAAATGTTTAGGCATTAATTAGGGCAGTAACCAGCTGCCTAGCGCTTAGGCGGGGATTTTTAGAACAGTGTCTACAAGATATCTATTGTAGGAATATATCTGCAACATATCCTTAAATTTGTTTTCTTTTCCAAAATGTAACAAATACCAAAAGATGGTCATCTTCGTAGTCCTTTTCTCTATGGATATTCTACTTTCTGCTGTTGAAGAAAAGGATCGACAGTATTATTGGCCACTCAACCAAAGGATTCCATTGTCATTTTTTAATCCCGGTTTTCGGAATTAGATTCTCGGAATTTCTATGAATAGTGGGTTGAATAGTTTTCACGATTTGATTTAGTAACACTTTTTTATCTTATTATGTTTCAAATTGGTTTTGGTTTCTCACCTAATCACTGCGTAATTTATGTTTCTTCAACAGTGAACTAGAAGATACCGACAATGAAGACGACAACCGAAGAGGCTGCAATTGTGTTATTTTATGAAACTTCTGAAAATCAGCATCCACTCTGCAAATTCCTAAGGAAATCGCAGCAATTACAGGAGAAAGAAAGGAAAATTCACGTTGATGCAGCGAGTCTAAAATCGAACAGAACTCGAATGTTTGAAATTCAGTTTTAGTCCATTTCGAGTTACCAAATTACAACGGAGCTGCAGCTCTCACAAGACTGTTTTATGAGAACTCAATAGAGTAGGTAGTCAATATTCGTTTATAAGAATGTTGACAATATTGCATTCGTCTGATTAAGAAACTTCTCACAAGTTCTGACACTAAATGAAGTAGTTTTTTTCATTTAGATAGTTAATGTTGCCCTCTAAAATGATGAAGATGCAATAACATTTGCAAACACAAAAGCAATTTACACTCATGTCATTTGATGAAATTTTTGTATATCAAACTTTTCGTTACCCTCGTAAGTTTCTATCTTCAATTCTTGCAAATTACAAACAGAAGATTCTCATCAGAGAAAAAGATTGAAGCAAGCAAGACTAGAGAAAAAAATATCTTCCAAACTCATCCAAAACCAAAACCATGAACAAATTGATACTTGCGAAACTGATCCGTCTGAAGCACCAGATGGCTGATGGCTCAGTCAATCCCTTCATTGATTTGCCGTTAAGCTCTAATGCATACCAGCTCAAGTCCTTTGAACTTTTGAAGTAGCTCATTGCACTATTTCTTGTTGAAAATGCCAAATATAGATTTGATGGCGTTGATGGCATTCTCGTTGATGAATGATTCGTCAAATCTTTTCAATAGAGGTTCAAATTCCTCAGATTTTCTTACATTCTCTAGGTCAGGATCAGTCCGGATTCTCTGTTGACAGTAATAGTAATAAATTCCATAAGAATCTCTGTGAAATAAACCATGGTATTCTCAAATGTGGGTCCGTTACCTTGAAGTCTTCAAATCCAGCTTTCAGGGCATCCTCAAGTGCAGAGATCCCAGCTTGTATCTATATAAAGAATTGCAATATAAACAAAGCAGTTAATTGATCGCAAAAAGGAATATGAAAGTGAGGAAATCCTTCAGAAAACACTGTTCAATGCACGCAACAGCATTAGCTGTAGACGGATAAATCAAAATGTAGGTAAACTCAGGTGGAAACATTTTTCACGCTTGGTTAAATCTTTGAATGCCAAAACCAAGAGAAATGTTGAAGCAACATGCAAATTAATCGTAGTAATAGTATTCTTATTAGATACCTGATTAAGCTTAGAATAACAACAAGCAACATTGTAACTTGCAATGGAAGCTTCATCTAACTCTGGTTTTGATCCTAGTACAGATTCAAATTTCTCCAATGCTTCCTCATATTTGCCACCCCTTTTGCAACCAATAAAAGAACAACGAAACAAAATATTGTAAGCGAGATCAATTTCTGTTTATCTGAAGTTTAGACTTGGTACGAGGCCCTAATCAAGAAAGAGCATGAATAAATGGAAGCAAACTGAAACTGAAACTTTTCCAATAAAAGAAAGATGAAGTATGAAAGAATGTAGATATAAGATCAAGCTGCATACTTGTACAGCTGGAGGCCTTGTCGAAGGTCACTTTCTCTCTGCGCTTTTTGTTCCTTTTTCCTCAGATAGTTTTGCATCTGAATTCATTTTACAAACACATAGAGACTACACTGGAGACCATTTCTAGAAGTATCTTCTTAAAAAATGAAGAAACAATTCAGACTCTTTGTGCTGGCAACTGGAACAATGATTCACTTACTTGGATATCCCTCAATTTTCCGCTAATTACACCAGAATTCCTCTCAGCTCTGATAATCTCCTTTTCCGTTAATTCACCTGAAGTATCTAAATTGCCTGGAAAGAAACAAAATTTCCGAAAACCTCAGACAATGTTACAGAAGATTGATATAAGGGGAATGAGCTTTGAACTTGAGTGAATGTGTGTGTTTTTTGCTCGAGGATAATGAGTAAAAACGAGGCACAGAGAAGGAGCTAACCGTATCTCTTCTGCATTCGCATGAGAAGTGGACCGATCCTCTGGCGAATAGTGTACATTGTCCTCCCATACTCGGCAGCAGGCCATATTTCATCCCCAAAAACTGCACTGCATGCATTTTAGAACTCTTTGATCACATTGCCAACACAGGAACTCATTGGCATAAATAACTGATCAAAAGCGCAAACAATATGCACGTGCCAAATAGAATTGGAATAAAAATAGTAATAAATACCACAGTTTAATGCCCCCTTATCGACATATTGTTGTCCCTCGGATTCCATTGTTAATTAACAGTTTGTAACCAATTTCATTTTAATATATTTCCGGATAAATTTTCGGAAATATGCAAAGCAAGAGTCATGCTGTCCAACAATCATACAAATAAAGCCACCAAAATTACTAGGGGAAGAAGGATCAGATAACAACCTTGTGGCAATAACTTTATCCCCAACAGTAAACTTGCCAGTCTTGTCAGCAGATCCACCGGGCGCAATGGCATCAATGTAAGTTCCGCCATCTCGGCCTTTGGAGAATTTCAGCCCGTAAGGCTGCACCACTTCCACCTCATACTCCTCATATGCTTCTGGTTTTCCTTCTCCTTCTCCTCCTTCACTTCCACTCTCTGCTGGTTTCGACTCAGTTTCCGATGTTTTTACTAAGAAAATAGATAGTCTAACCGAACGGCTGCTGAGGAAACTGCTTGAAGTGCTCAGACCTGAGAAATTCTTGGTCGGAGAAAACACAAGTGGGTGGTTGTTCTGCTGCTTGGTCAAAGAAGTTCTTGGCAATGGCGGTGCAGAACAGAGAGACATGTGACTTGTTGGAGCTAAAGACATTATGTTTGGTCTTGTTTTAGCCGAGATTACGGTGAAGGAGAAGAAGAAGAGGAAGATGTTGGAGTTGCTGGGAAAGTTTGGGGTGGAAATTCCATTTGTTTGGTCTAAAAGGTTTTGGATTACAACGAGTCCATGACTAGTGGCTCTAATAGTCTCTTGTCTTCAGTTCAAGGGTGTGATGCCACATGTCACTTTTATGGGTGGTTGCCAAAGTCGACCGTTTTAATGGGTAGGTCTTCTGTGTTCCTGCACAACACAAGGGAGTATGTGCAACTTTAAATACAACCGGTTGCAAAATTTTAATAAAAAATTGAATTGTGAGACGTGCATAAAATTATGGTTTTTAATGTTGTTACAACTCTGTTTTGTATTATAACACAACGGCTAAATAGCCAAAATAGTCCATGAGATATGCATAACACATTACTTTGGTCTTGAGATTGAAAATCAATAGAAATGGTGCCTGAGATTGTCCACCATCCATCATTTTGGTCATTCCTTTAAAAACTCTTTGGGCAATTTTCAAAATTTTGTAACTCAATCATTTCTTAACCAAATTCGACCTATAATATATCAAAATGAAGATAGGAAAGTGTAGAACAAGATTATATCATTTGAAAGCCCAATGGTTGCTGAAGATGGCCGAAAAATAGTCTCAAAGTTGACTGGTCTGAGGAAAAACTGGAAAACTCATCGGAAACTGGGTAAACTTTAAACGTTCATAACTTCTTCAATACTCAACGAAATCGAGTGATTCAAAAACAAAAATCATATTTCTTGACGAGACAAAGAGGATGGTACCTTTTTCAACAGATAAATCACCGTGGTTTGGTAGGAAAATGGCTCGAAAATGGTTAGCCACTTTCGAGCATTTTTCCGGCCAAACTATGGTGAATTAGCCATCATGAAAGGTACCATTCTCTTTGTCTCATCGAGATGTATGATTTTTTGTTTTGAATGATTCGATTTCATTGAACATTGAAGAAGTTATGAACGTTTAAAGTTTACCCAGTTTCAGGCGAGTTTTTCAGTTTTTCCACGGACCAGTCAATTGTGAGGCTATTTTTTGGCCATCTCCGACAACCATTGGACTTCCAAATGGTATAATCTTGTTCTACACTTTCCTATCTTCATTTTGATATATGAGTCGAATTTGGTAAAGAAACGATTGAGTTACGAAGCTTTGAAAATTGCCCAAAGAGTTTTTAACGGAAGGACCCAAATGATGAATGGTGGACAATCTTAGGGACCATTTATATTGATTTTCAATCTCAAAGAGAAAAGTGATGTGTTATGCATATCTTAGGGACCATTTTGATTATTTAGCCTAACACAACCTATCACCCCAAACATCTTTTGAAAAAAACAAAATTTCCCCCTTTCAATCCCCCAAGGAAACATGTCCTATAATTCCCATACGGCATCATTTATTGTTTGTACGTTAGTCCCATAATAACCAGAAAATTAGCAACAGAAGGAAGACGAATATTAGCAATAGAAGACCTAACGTTAACAAAAAATCAACGGTTAAGTTAGAACATAATAAGGTTTTAATAAACAGCAACACGATGTTTCTGAATAAATACTAATAGTACACAACAAAAACATAGATGAAGCATAGATGTTTCTGGTAGTAATAATCTATAGAAGTAAGATACACACTGCTCCATCTTCCAATTCCAACCATGGTACAGTTTCCCCATAGCTCAAACAACTCTACATCTTCATCTTCACATATTCCTTTTTATTCCTATGCCAAAAGAAACGGGACAAAAACGAATCCGCTAATCTACAAACATATCCATCTCGTGTGCTGCTGCGAGATTTGCTCTGGCATTGTCAAAACCTGTTGAGAGAGAAACCAGAAAGAATAAGATTCAATTTCCATCTGGTCAAAACTGAAACCTTTTAGCACTAGAGCTTTTCTTCACCTGCTTATTACAGATATACAGGGATTCTTTCAACGAATCAAAACCTACAATGTGGAAAAAAGAAAATCGATGAGCTCGAATGCTATGCCAAAGGAATGAAAATGGATAAAGCTTGAATGCTATGTCAAAGAAGAAGATATTGTCTCAATATACCAAAAGTTTATTTCTTCAAAATGTTGCTAGAGAGGATTTTCTTCCCATAAGGACTGGTCCGAAGAACAGGCACATGAGGTTTTATTGCATCCACCAATTTAGAATGAAGGATTCCCTGCTCAAACAGCATAGAGAATTTCAGAAGGACAAGCATAGAAAAACCTCATCGCTGCCCCGAAGAAAAAGAGATTAGAAAAATGATCAAGAGCCGTATGATCACTTCACTTGTATTTTGTTGTTAAATGCACAACTATTAATTTGATTATTCGTCGTAAAAGAACAGGAATTTCATTTAAACCACGAAATAGAATGTAAGATGTACTATAATACTTTACCTTTGATTGACTGAGAGCTGCTTGGACAACATAATTTCCATAAGGGTCTTGCATGACTTGATCCAAGCGCGGATTTTCTATCAGCTCCTGAATAATGCGCGTGCGACGCTCTTCATCTGCATATTTCAGGCTTTTCTCAACCACGTTACTGCTATACTTCTGCACTGACAAATCCCCATAATTACCCTCCAACTGGTCAAGAATATCTACAGTTGCCCACGGAAGCTGAAGTTCAAAGACAAATTGCACAACATAGTTCCTGCAAACAAAAGATGACGTGGATATCGTACCATGTTAATGATGTATTAAATTAAGGACATTGAAAATGGAGGGGTGAAAAGAGAGTACCCAAATGGATCTTGAGAAAGGATTAGTGCATTTGAAGTAATCTCGCAGATTAATCGGTTTCTTTGTTCAGCATCCGAGTGGTTAAGGCATTTTTGTAGCACACAACAACCGTGGCGGTCAGTTGCAAGCTCTACACAGTTAGTAGTTGCAGCTGTGAAAAGAAACTGCAAAAGAAACCATTGCCATCTTTCATTCCGTGATACATGATTTAATGAATTTACAGACTGATTCATGTAGTAAGGTACTCTGAGTTAAACCAACCGACAACAAATAAGAAGAGACACAAATAAGTCATCACGCTTGCAACATTGCACAGAGAAAGAAAAAATCTCCACATCAGCAACACCCATGTGCTCATAAACTTCAAAAATAATTCAAAGTACTATGTGTTTTACCTCATGATATTCAGGCGTTAAATACTGTAAGCAGCGCTGTGCAACGTGATTTCCATTTGTGTTCTTTATCAAAGTCACTATCCCTGGCTTTAGCGATGAAACAACCATGGAAAACTGCTCTGCAATTTTGAGGGTTTCAATAACCTTTTGAACAGCCCGAGTCCTGTGGTTGGGAAGAACCCCAATTTCATCATATCAAAATAGTAAAAACATGCAGCGGATAAATTATAACCCACACGCATGCACAAGCGAGTGAGGACACACACACTCACACACACACAAACACATATATAGGCGCGGGGGGGGGGGGGGGGTGGGGGGAGAGAGAGAGAGAGAGAGAGAGAGAGAGCAAACCCATGCATATCACATGAAATCCTAACAAGTTCCCCTGGCTTTTTAGTGATTGAATGAAGAATTTGCATTTGCTGATCCTCATCACACACTTCAAGCAGCTTCTGAATGAGGTAATTCCCAAAAGGGTCTGTCATGAGCTCAACAATGTGATCAATGATCTCAGAAAAAATATTTTCGACATCTTTTTGGGCGCCTTCAGAAAACTTTCTTTGCAAGAAGCGGCAACCATGCTGGTCCTTAGCCATTAGATAAATTCTTCCAGTAATTTCATCCATGGAGTTATATTTCTGAGGCACTGTCTTCAGATCAGTATATTTCTGAGGTAGCGCCTTCATATCTGTATTCTTAAGATGCATTAAACTAGGGAACATACCCCATGTGTTCAAACTATCCAATTGAAAGCATCCGGTATTTTGAGTAGATAAGGCATGCCGGAAATGACCGTTTGGGAGAGCTTTGCCATTCTGGCTAACATGCGTAAGTGATTCATCTGTTCCAATAGCACCGAACTTCACAGCTTTAAGTGTGTTCATCCCATGTGATCGTGTTAGAATCTTCTCAGGAAAACTCTGCTTTCCCACCTTGTCAAGAACTTGAATACCATTACAATCTGTGTATGAAAGAAAGGGATTTGATTGGTGTGGACCCCTGGGAACCACATAATTGTTCCATATTTGTTCTTGATTAGATTGTTCAAGTGGCACCTCAAAATGGGGGTGCCTTGGGGATGGACACGTGAGCCTGCTTGCAATATTCCCATTCCCTTGAACCAGATGCTGAGCTTCCAACCGCTGATCATGAAGCTGCTGCAAGTACACATATCGCTGCTGCATCCTATAGTATTGCTCCTCTTCCATGTTCCTCCAACTAATTTGATTCTGGTTTAGCTGTTGAGAATGTAGGTAAGGAATACGAGATTGTGCATCAAGAAAGAATTGCTGCTGATGATCAGATGTTAGAGGAAACTGCAGACCAGGAGCAGGCACATTAGAAAGGAAATGAAAACCTTGCACTGCAGGAGCTTGAGGAACACCAGGAGATAAATTTTCAATGGGCCGTGAATAGGCAGCCTGCGGTTTCTTAAGCTCTTCAGAATTGAACTTTGACATATTTGAACTTTCTTGGCCTGCATTTATCGCATCAAACTCATAAAATCCACAAGGTATGTTATTTGGTGCTTGGAAAGAGGGAACAACCATGACCGGCGTATCCATATTTGAAACCTGTGTCTTTAAGCTGTTTGGGATTTGGCCATTCATTGAAAAGGAGTAGTTCTGCAAGGATTTACTATTTTCAACATGACTCCCAGCTTCCATATTCACTGCACCGTTGAAGCTCAGTCCTGCGAGTGCAGACGTTAAGGATTGATCATCGGGTAGATTTGTTACATCTTGTTGAACCCTTTTCACAGGTGATTTCTGAATTTTATTTGCCGAGTTCTTCCCCCCATCTATCCTCCCATTGTTATGGAGTTTTTCACTCAATGGCCCTTTGCAGGAGTTCACACAGATGGGAGACAATGACGCATTCTTTGTTCCAGATTCATCAGAATGTGTGTTCCCAGAAGTAACATTTGGTATCTCACCAAGAAGCTTCTCAAATTCATCAAACTCTAGTTCAGTTCTTCCTTCTTCCATGTCGTATTTGCAGTTCGTTTAACAATGCACTCTGCCAGACAGAGCAAGCAATAGCAGGCAAGCAAATTCCCAAGATAAACCCTTCAATCCAGCAAGAATTTAATATTACAACTCAAAATAAACACACATTACATTATTAAAAAATCAGTAAATACAAAACCAACGCTCTCGAAACTATCAATTTCAAGACACGGTGCTACAATATTTATCCAAATTAAAAATAACCCGCATTTTACAAACAGAAACCACACCAGAATTCCAATTTGAAATGAAAAGACACTTCAATCTGCTAAATCCCCTCCCACTAGAGAAATTGATCATGAAAATACACCATTTTTACAACTATTTATTTTATATTTTAATTATTTTTTTAAATTAGGACAACATTCCATTAAACAAAAAAAGAACAATCAATCAGTGCCGTTATGTCAGCTCTCAGTCCAGAAACAGAGTCCACACAATGCATGAAAACGATGAAAACGATGAGGATCATCAGCAGGATGATCACATAATTTCAACTAAATTTTTTTAATTTTTTTTTTAAATCTCGATTATTTCGTGCGAAACAAAGAAAATGGATGATCAATCCGATTGCTTTGAATTATTCCCATTAAATAAAAAGAAAGAAACATACCCGAATACCCGAATTCGATAGCTGATCAAATGTGAGAAAACCCAGATGATCCTGATCATCAAGACGCCAAATTTATAATTCAGAACAAAAAAAATATGAAAACTTCACAATCAATATATCAAAATAGAAAAAGGCAACAATATGAGGTGCGGGTGAACACAGCAAAAGAACAATGCAGAAGAAAAAGAAGCCAATAAGGAAATCCAAACAAAAGAAGAAAGAGGAGGGAGAGACGTACGGGGGAGGAGTGAGGAAAAAAAAGGGCAATGAGGGGTGGCAGTGGAGAATCGGAGTGGGAGAGAAAACAGAGGCATATACAGAGAGAGTGTTGGGCAGAGAATTGGAGAAGAGAAAGAGGGTGTTTTGGGTAATTAAAATAAAAGGGAGTGCAAAGGGAGTGACAGTGTGTGTGTGTGTTAATAAGTGGTGTTGGTGAGAGAGGAATTGAGGAGTGGAGAGAAGTGGGGTGAGGGAGAAGGAGGCGGCGTCAAGGAGAAGGAGAGAAGTTTTCGAAAAGGAGAAAAGAGATGGCCATTTGGCAACACCACCAACTTCAATCGCCCACATGTGCCATTTTCATGCATGAATTGGACGAAAAATGTAAAAATGGAAAATGCGGGGATGGAATGCTTCTTATTCTTGTTTGTTTTATGGCATGTTACATCCCATGTTCCATGTTCTATATATCATCTCATATGCCTCCCCTCTCTCACCCACTTTGTTTTTGTTTAATCACTTTTCAATGTGCTTATTATATTGGCCTCCTTTTAATTGTAGTTAAAGCAGTATAAGACATAGAAATTGGTTCGTCTTCTAATTCTAGTATTCTAATGTCATTTTAGTATACTTGAAGGGAGATTCGAACTCGAATTTAAAAGGACAAATACATTGATCTATCAATTGGCATAATTGAGGTTTACAATTACCCACTAAAAATTAAAAAGTAAAGCATAAAAGCAAAATAAAAACCTTGTGGTTGTTGAAGTAGGGAGGCTATCCCACACCATTCCATCCACCATCCCAAGAGTAAGAGATAATGAGTGAGTAAAAACATATAGAAAGAGTATATTTCTCTTGGTGCGTCAACTTGTTACCCAATTTAGCATCTCTTATCAAATTATATAACATTATGAATTGGCAATGTCATACGTGCCTTATTGCCTTAGCTTTTTGTGCATATAAGGGGAAGGGGGCCCATCGCCACAACTAGCAAACAACCTTTGGGTTCACATTACATTAGTGTATATACCTACTTCACCTTAATTATGTAGCTATGCGCTTGAAATTGATATATAATTTATGAAAGATAATGCACTACTAATAGTAGCTCCACGGTGTATTATACAAGGGTAAAGATAAACGCATCTTCTTCTTTTTTGACATAAACATTTTTTTTTGTGATATGACCTTAAACACACCGTTGTTCAATCATGTCCATTAATTCTCTTTGATTTATTCAATATAATAGCTAAAACTAAAAAAAAAAAAAAAAAAAAAAAAAAAAGGGTATGAAAATCTCTTCCTTTGTACAATGGTGAATCTCTGAATACTTTTTCTTGAAGGGGAAAAACAAGGCTGTAAAAATTAAAATCTTACTAATAGTTGCATTGGAGTTGAGGAGAAGGGTGGCCAATGGCCATATCAAAAATTCAATTTGATGCGTGGACGTGACCCAAAGCTTTATAGTTTCTGGAGAAGAGATAGAGTGTGTGAAAGATGACTAGTTGACTCACTAGAATTTAGTTAGAATTGCTAGTTGGAATGACTGACTGACTGAGAGGCGGAACAAGCGGATCATTATTAACTGTTTATTATTGTAGCAATAATTCATTCACATATCACTATTATATTATCCCTTCCATAACATCTTCCACATATAATTACTCTTCATTTCCATATTAAATCCTTACCAAATATCTCAAAAATTTAGATTAGTGAGTAAAAAGTATCTTGACCAAAAACAAGTCACCAAAAAAGTAAAAATTATGAAGAAATGTTTCTTCTTTGTCGTTTATAAAAACACATGATTGGACTATAGATCGATCTTATTTTCCACATTCGATATTTGTTGCTTTTCCATTTCCAAGCAACTGACGTAGGGTCGGAGGAAGCAACCACACATTGACTAATTAGTGATTAGACTGACTTCCCACTAGATTATGACCTTGTAAGATGAGAGCAACAAGCCTACAATACCGTCAACAGTCTATAATCGGTTCAAAACTCAACATGCGTGGTAAAAACACCAACCTAATCACACTCTACAACATTAAATGCGTCTTACCAGTCTCACTTATCCTTTGAAAATTATTTGGCCCAAGCCTAACCATTCTCTTTCAACTCCGTTGAGCTTGTTTTCCTCTTTTGAACATACCATTCAATGTAAAAGACTATCAATAACTCAAACGAAACAAAACTAATCAAGAATACAAACACTCTTGGCACGAAAATTTCTTCCATTCAAATTATACTTGCAGTGATTGCTACACTGAACAGGAATTCAACATCCGCCGCACTCCCGTGAGCTAACCTCACCGGAATCCTTTATGTATACAAAAAATTTCTTCCATTCAAATACTATCGTTCTAATAAATTGTGGCCATCGTCTAGGGTCTAGGGTTCTAGGTTGATCTTGTTCGCTCCTCTTCCTCAGATCGTACTCATTCTCGATCAACTTTAGTAACCGTAGCCTGTCACAACAAAAGGAACAAGTTGGCAAATTTGCATTTTGACAAAGACAAAAGCGGAATAGAGAGCCCTAGATTATCTACAAACCTGAGTTGTCCATGGGGTTGCCGGCAGGCACTGCAGGCTCTGGCTCTTTAATCTCAACAACTACACAATCTGACATTAAGAAAGTTTTCGCAACAGAGGATGCATGCTCTAGGCAACATCTCACCACCTGAACAATAAAAGGAATCAAAATTTCAGTAAATTATGTAAATGAGATTTCAATTATATTCCTGGAAGTCAATACTAGGTAACATCTAACACAGCTTCGGCACAGAAACTCACCTTGGTTGGATCAATGATTCCAGCAGCCATTAAATCTTCATAGTTTCCAGTGGCAGCATTGTATCCATACTTCGGATTGTCACTTGAAAGCACCTGAAAAAAGAGACAACAAACATAGCATTCAGATACTAAGCATAGTATATTCTATATTGAGCCAAACGAAAGAATACCTTCTCACTGACAACACTTCCATTTACACCAGCATTCTTGGCGATTAATTTCAGAGGGTAACTAAGAGCTCTTTTAACGATATCTGCTCCAACCTGCAATCACCATTTGATTTGAGCCAACATTCAATACAGTTTCAGTCATAATCAGAATCTTCTTCTGAGTCAAACCCCAAAAGATTGGGGGAGTTCAATAATCAACAGATATGGTACCTTTTCTTCATCATTATCAAGAGTATCTTTGATTGCGTCAACCTTTGATGCTAACCTCAGAAGTGTGCATCCACCTCCGACAACAATACCTTCCTCAACAGCTGCCTGGACAATTACCAACAATTTAAATTTTGATGGTGCTTTAATGCGCAGATGAAAGAAAACTTAACAGGGATTTAATATGAAAAGATTTAGTTAGAGTTGGGTTACCTTTGTTGCATTCAGAGCATCTTCAACTCTCAGTTTCTTTTCTTTCAGCTCTGTCTCTGTTTGTGCTCCAACCTTGGAAAATTCAAGAAAAAGTTCATACAAATGAATTACCATTGCAATACATCATAATCCAAATTGTCTACGTGTATTTCGAAACTTACCTGTATAACAGCAACACCACCAGATAGTTTTGCAATCCTTTCATTAAGCTTTTCTCTTTCATAGTCCTGCTCGGCCGCCTGCATTAATTGTTTAACTTGTTAAGGCTATAAGACTATCAAGAATGACAAACATCCATAAGCATTTTTTGAGAGAAGGAGAAAGAGGGTTTCACCTCAATGAGGTTCTTAATTTGGGCAACTCGCTTGTTAACTGCTTCCTGAGTACTTCCATCACCAACAATTGTGGAGGTATCCTTTGTAAGAACCACTTTCGAAGCATGGCCTAGGACCTCCTTTCCAACATTCTCTAATGTGAGTCCTACTTCCTCTCTGATGACAGTTCCTATAAGCAAATTAATAGTATCTCAATATCACATTACAAACAGAAAACAATAAAGGAGACTCATAGTTACACCAGCGCTCCATTCAAACAGGAGGAAGTAATGAATTATTAGCAGACAAGACACCTAGGCAAGAGTTGAGACCAAAAAATGAATTAGACGTAAAAGTACCTCCAGTTAGAATAGCAATGTCATCAAGGTACTGGCTCTTGCGATCACCAAACCCGGGAGCTTTAAGGGCAGCAATCTTAAGAGCTCCTCTTAGCTTGTTTACAACAAGAGTTGCAAGAGCTTCTTGTTCAATGTCTTCTGCAACAATTACAACTGGGTATCCTCCTCTAATAGCATCCTCCAAAATGTTAATAAGGTCCCTTGCATTTGTAATTTTTTTATCAACAAGAAGCAACTGCACAAAACCCACTCTTGTATTAGGAGGCACAAATAACACATTGAAAATTAAACTTCCATCACCCAGGGAAAAAGGATATGTTACCTTGCAGTTCTCATATTCAACAGCCATTTTCTCACTGTCAGTGACAAAGTAAGGTGAGATATAACCACGATCAAATTGCATTCCCTCAACAACATACAGGCTGTTCTCAGCGCTCTTTCCCTCTTCAAGGGTCACCACACCCTTCCTACCCACCTTGCTCAAAGCTTCAGCGATCATGTTTCCTACTTCATAATTGTTTCCTGCACTAACAGCTGCAACATCTGCCAGCTCACTGTCTTCAACCTGCAATGAGTTGTAAACTTTTCTCGTTCTGAGGAGATTTAAGGATTATGAAGCAATGCAAAGAAACAAAGGAAATCATAATGCTAGGCTAGCACCACATGGTCAAGGGTTGAGACTGTAAAAATCGGAAATAAATTTAAGCTACCTCTTTGGAGATCAACTTAAGCTCATTTACTAGAGCTCTGGTGGTCTTTTCAATGCCACGTGTGATTAAAACAGGGTTTGCCCCAGCTGCAACCACCTGAACAATTGAACTCAGTTAACAGAAGTTTTCACACAATCTCTCTCCAATGCAATCACAAAGACCACGGTACAAACCTTGACACCTTCAGCAATAAGACCTTGTGCAAGAACAACAGAAGTGGTTGTACCGTCACCAGCTAGGTCATTAGTCTTGGCAGCTGCCTGTCTCACTAACTTAGCTCCAATATTCTCAACAGGGTCCTCCAACTCAACCTTTAGGCAGAAAAGGACAAAGTTAATAATCTCAAAATTGCCCTAAATTCAAAATTGCAAACTCTTGACAAAGTGAATACGTTTCATTTCAGTATTCTATCCAACCAAAAAAGGACTTCATTTAGCTCATATGCTTTGCCAAACTCACAACGTGCTGCTCTCATGTCTCATCTCACACTACATCTTGAAATGCTAAAAGAAACATTGACGCTCAAAACATAAAGGAATCTAAGTTTATGTGCTCAGAACTACAACATATAAAAGCAAAGAGGAGAACACTTGAAAGCTTTAAACTTGTTCCCTCCAAAAATGTGACACAAAGAAAGGATCATAAACCTCTTTTGCGACGGTTACACCATCGTTAACAATTTTGGGGGAGCCATACTTGCTCTCTAGAACGACATTCCTTCCCTTTGGACCAAGTGTAACCCCAACAAGGTCGGCGAGCTTGTTGACACCAGTCTGTATAAGAATAAGATTATATGTTAGAGCACGTAAAGATAAGAGGCACCACAGAATGGAAACAAATTAACAGCCTTGCTCTTCAGAAGACTCGCCTGTAATTTCTTGATGGCAGAGCCGTCCTTGTTGAAGTGCAATTCCTTGGCCATGGCGCAGATCCTGGGAGCCCGTGTCCTCCTCATAGCCACATTTTGCCTCCTAGAGAGAGAGAATGAAGAGATTGAAGCACGAGACGACAAGCTGTCGAATTTTCTGTCAACGACACGGCCACTAGGAGCAGCCAAGGAACCAACTGAAGTCATGGCTGCAAATGTGGATGCCATCTACCCCTGTCAAATTCAGTAGCACATGCAATTATTGAAAAAATCAAATTCATCTGTGTTCAATTAATTGAAAAAACCAATTTCACGTCTTTTGATTTCAAATGAAATGGATGATTAAAATACTGGTGAATTGGATTCAAATGGAGCAAAGAACAAACCCAAAACAAAACAAAAGAAAACAAGCTGCAAATGAAAAGGGGTCAATTGATACTGATGGCGCACAACAGAGAATATAGGACAGCAAGCCGCCTCTCAAAAGCACCAGAAACACGAGCACAATTGAGTAACAGAGCTTCAAGAGAGAGAAAGGGAGAGAGGTTGAAGAGATGAATCACCTCACCTGAGAGCCAAACAGCAGAGTGGAAGAAGAGTCGATTTAGGGTTTAGGTAGATAGGGAGACTGGAGAGCAAAGTCTTGAGGGTTTTGGTGGGTTTGGATAAGAAACGCCCAAGAGAGAGCACAAGGAAAGGGACTGAGAGTTCGAGGCAAATGTTATGTTATATTGGCGACTGAGCGAGCGTTAGGTTTACCCACTCCCCACCCTTGAGCTCTTGAATCCTCCAGACCCAAACTCCATCTGGACCGTCCGATTCCTTTTCGTTCGTCCTCCTTACGAACACTCTAGAACTCTGAATGACGCTTTGGGGGTATTGGGCTTAAATAATTTAAATCTTGGGCTTTTTGTTTGTCTCAAGATATTGATGGGTCTTTGTATGGCAACGAAGAGGGGTTTACACTTACATTAGTGGATTTGGAATTTCCTTCTTATACAGATATTCCCACATGGACATGGATATTCTTCTTACGCAACACTTTGCTTGCATTATATGAATGAGCTCAGGGAGGATCATAGGATTTTTAAATCGTATCCGTTCATCATATATCATATGATTAAAAATTATTTTAAATATTTTTATTTTAAATTAAATATGAATAGTACATGACGAAAATTGATCACATGATATACGATGAACGAACACGATTTAAGGATCTGGAGAGGATCCTCTGGGTATTGTATATCTACTTGAAATATCACATCATTTGTGTTGTGTCATTTCATTTAAAATAAAAAAAGAAAGGGAAAAATAATCAAATAAATAAATTATAAATGAAGTAGACAGATTCCAAATGAATTTTATGCTATTCAATTTGAAAACAAACAACACAAAAATACGACCTCATTTTGTCAGGGAATGATTTGACACCTTAATTGTTTAATCTATAGACTAATGTGGACATCATTTCTCCTTTTTAAACTCAAACTAGTCATGTTTTTAGACGATGATGATGTTTCAAACGCCACTTCTCTATCTATTAGATTAAAAGAATATTGAATGAAATAATGTTTGATCCCAGTTGAAGTTAAGATCGATGCATTAGTCGAATGGTTTTTTTCGAGCATTAACCATTGTGAAGTCATTGAATTTACCTTAAACGGTCATTATAGAAAACAAAATTGGGAATGTTTCGTCGTTTTAGAAAGAAAATGTTAATCACAATGGTCAAATCTAGCTATATATAATCCAACGAGTCTTAGGCTGGCCGGCCGGCGGAGTTGTTAATTTCAAATTCTGGTTGTAAGTACGTGTGAAGGAGATATAATCTATGCTCTCAATTTATGAAAGTTCCAAACTTACAAGCGCACACACACTCACACACACACACACACACACACACACAAGTCTCGGTATGTGATAGCTAGCTTTCTTGGATTGGAAGCAACAGATCATCATCTCCTACCTACAGAAAAGAAAGAAAAAAAACTCTTTGTCTGTATGTCTGCGTTGATCGATCTTCACGAATCAAATCCCTGATTGTTGTATATTTACTTAGTTAGGAAGTCAACTCCTTCTTTCATGGAGTTAATCATGTATAATCCCTGTATATATTTTACTTCCCCGTTCATATCAATAATATAGAAAAAATTTCAAACCTTTGGTCCTTATGATGGTATCAGAGCCCCTTCATGGTGGCTCCTAATTTTCCTTTTTGTGTTCATGTGCTTTTGAAGCTTTCAAGAGTGAGATATATATATATATATATATGTTTTTTTTTTTCCCTTGCCTTGAATCACAATTTTATCATGGGAATGGGAGAAAATTCAAACATCAACTCCAATTCTATCTCCAATCAGCGGACACATTTTTCAAACTGCTTGCTGGGCTCACACTAGAACAACTTCAACAGCTTATAGCAGTTATATCCATGGTAAAATTACAAAAATCAGAAAATTGCAATGCATTTGCAAATATAGCAGGTCGGGTATTTTTTTGTGAGTTTTCATCAATTAATTATGTATCTTCTAATACATGGATTTTGGATAGTGGTGCGACATGTCACATTGCATCCGACTCTTCTCTTTTCACTCGAACACATAGTTCTTCCATGCCTTCAGTTAATTTACCCACTGGTCATCTGCTCCTATTTCTACAATTGGCTCAATACTTTATGACAAGAATATCACTTTGAACAATGTTCTTTGGGTTCCCTCATTTCGTCTTAATTTGGTGTCTGCCAGCAAAGTCACTAAATCCTCAAATTGTTGTGTCATTCTTTTTCCTGACTTTTGTGTTTTACAGGACTTGGGTAAGAGAGGATAATCGGCTTGGGTAAACAGCGAGGAGGTCTTTATTACATGTCACCACTAAATACAACCTTCACAACCCCCTTTTCATGTCATGTTTCCCACACATCCAGTATATGGCATCAACGCCTTGGTCATCCTTCACCAGCTCGGCTCAAATTACTTTCCAATTTGTTTCATTCTGGTCTGCTTCTATGAACATAATTGTGATGTTTGTCCCATGGCTAAACAGACAAGATTACCTTTTTCATTAAGTTCCATCTCTTATAATGTGCCCTTTGCTTTATTACACTATAATATTTGGGGTCCTCACAAACTTAAATCTACTTCTGGGGCACGGTACTTTCTTACCATTGTTGATGATTACACCAAGTGCACTTGGATATTTTTGATGACCATAAGTCCGAAACACAATCCCTTATGAAATCCTTTGTCACCTTTGTTCGTAGTCAATTTAGTGCCCCCATCAAAGCAATAAGGTCTGATAATGGAGCCGAATTTTTCTCATTATGAGATTTTTTCCTTGATAATGGGGTTGAATTTCAACGTTTATGTGTTTACACTCCATAAAAAAATGAAGTAGTTGAACGCAAGCATTGCCACATTCTCATTGTGGCTTGTGCATTGCTCTTCCAAGCCAATTTGACTCTCATTTTTTGGGGGGAGTGTGTTCTCATTGTCGTTTATCTTATCAGTAGGCTACCCACTCCATTACTATCAAATAAGTCACCCTATGAGGGGTTATACAATCGATCCCCCAAGCTCGATCATCTTAGGGTATTTGGGTGCCTTTGTTATGCTATGTTGTTCAACCACTACAAAAATTCGATTCACGTGCCCATCGTTGTATTTTTGTTGGCTATCCAACAGGTCAAAAGGGATATAAGCTTTATGATTTGAAGACAAAACAATTTCTTGTTAGTAGAGATGTGAAATTCTATGAAAATATTTTTCCCTACGCATCTCTAACCCCAGAAGACCACCATCAAAACTCACAAATTGTTTTACCCATAGTTCACCCTTATTCTCCTAGTCAATATGTTGGCTCCACCACCCTACCTATTATTTCCTCTCCATCCGCCAATCCACCACCACTTACATCTCATGAGTCAGATGCCACCACCCCACCCATTATTTCCTCACCTTCTACCCATCCACCACCACCTACATCTCATGATTCATAGGCCATCACCCCGCACATTATTTCCTCACTTTCCGCTCATACACTAACACCTCTATCTCATGATTCAGTGGCTACCACCCATACGGACCCCACCCCCTCTTCCACCACTTCTCCTCCCTTTCTCCATGAATCAACAATTCCTACATCTCCACATGACAATTCAACCGATCCCAGTCCATCATCTCCTCTTTTGCCTGCTCCTACTAGACACTTTACTCAAACCCACAAACCACCATCTCCTGTTAAAGGTACGAAATATCCATTATCAAATTTTGTTTCATATTCAACTATCCATGCAAAATCGTGTTTTTTTAGCTACTATCTCAGGCCATAGAGAACCCACATATTATTTACAAGCTACCGCAAACCCCAATTGGCAGCAAGCCATGACTACCGAACTCAATGCTTTGCAACAGAATAATACATGGACGTTGGTTCCTTTACCTACGGGGCATAAACCCATTGGATGCAAATGGGCATCCAATGGGTTTATCACATCAAATATCATTCCAATGGGACCATTGAACTCTACAAAGCTCGTCTTGTGGCAAAGGGCTACACCCAAATTGAAGGCGTCGATAAGATTGAGACATTTTCCCCAACTGCCAAACTCACCACTCTTCGTTGCATTCTCGCAGTCGCTGCTTCTCTCAATTGGACTATTCATCAGCTTGATGTTCAAAATGCCTTTCTTCATGGCGACTTGCACGATGAGGTGTACATGGACCCTCATCTCGGACTTTGCGACAGAGGGATCACTAGTGTGTCGGCTCAACAAGTCTTTGTATGGTCTCAAACAAGCCTCTCATAACTGGTTCTCCAAGTTTTTTAGTGCTCAACAAGCTGGATTTCAACAGTCCAAGGTAGATTATTCATTATTTACAAAAACCTGTGGTAGTTCTTTCACAGTGGTTCTCATATATGTTGAAGATATCCTTATCACAGGAAACAATCTTCAAGATATGGAACACTTGAAGCCCATTCTCCTCAAAAAATTTCGCATCAAAGACCTTAGAAACTTGAAGTATTTTTTGGGATTGGAATTCTCATGTTCTAAGAAAGGTATATTTGTATCTCAACGCAAATATTCCTTGGATATCTTACAAGATGCATGACTTTTTGGCGCAAAGCCGGAAACTTTTCCAATGGAGCATCACTTAAAGGTTACTCCTGATGATGGTGAATTACTTCATGATCCAATCCACTATAGAAGAATGGTGGGTCGATTAATCTACTTGACAGCTACTAGACCAGACATAGTTTATTTGGTTCAAACCTTAAGTCAATATATGCATCAGCCTCGAAAGCCTCAACCACAAGCAGCTTTACATGTTTTGCGATACGTTAAAGGAAGTCCAGGTCAAGGATTGTTATTTCCGGCTACTAATGACCTTTCTTTAAAAGCCTACTGTGACTTAGATTTGGCAGGGTGTAAGGCAACAAGGAAATCAGTCACAGAATTCTGCATGTTTATGGGTGATGCCCTCATTTCCTGGAAGTCGAAGAAACAATAAAATGTTTCTCCTTCCTCAGCCAAAGCAGAATACCGGGCAATGGCAACCACATGTTTAGGGCTAACTTGGTTGCAATACAAACTTTGTGCTTTGAAGGTTTTACAAGATAAACCAATTGCCCTTTATTGTGACAACAAAGCTGCTATCCACATTGCAGGGAACCCAGTTTTCCATGAGCACTCAAAGCATATCGAAATTGATTACCACATTGTTCGAGAGAAGC